ATGAGCAGTGGCTCATTGGGGATCATCTCACAAAGTAACGGAATGTTTACTTTCAAAAATGAAAGTGTTATTGAAGTTACATTGTAACGAAAAGTTCACCCAAGATTCCGGAAATAAAATTAAAGATATATATTGAAAGCAGACTTCGAATCCAAAAATTGTATCGCTAATTTTTTTAAACGGTGTCTGTACTTCTGTAGACATTAATTTTCGATATTGATTCGATAATGTCTGTCTGTATTAGACTTTTATCGATCGATTTAGAAAGAAAGACAAATATTTATTTGGTTCAAAACTTAACCAAAATGGTTATTTAGGTCCTATTTTCCTTTAGGGACGTACAACAGTTAAATCTACCTAAAAACACCTGCTATACCTATTGGCTATCGTGGAGTACATACAGGAAGCTAAATACATACAAAGTTGGTTGGTTTATTTGATTCACCAACAGCTGGTTGTTATCACTGTTACTGCTAGCTAGCTCTATTTATAGATTTTCACCTGGCAAACCGATTCGGAGTGTAATTATTCAAAATTTAGTTTTATTCACGTTCTAATCGTTCGATATCTATATCGCGCGTGTCTATCGAATAGATAATCATAAAAAGCAAAAAATGCGTTCAAATCCGCAGGTGATAAAACACAATCATGTTGTTTTCAGAGGATCAAAACAATACTATTTATTCATTGATCACGTAAAACGATTTATCCAGTGGCGTACTTTTATACTTCTTTGGTACCCACTAGTCAGTAGATAGTAAATTCAAATTCAAATATTTATTTGCACAATAGATAGAGAATATGAAAGAAAAACACAGATTTTCAAAATACATACCTACTGGGTTGCTGAGGACATACTCCTGCGTTCACTTTGCCTTAAGAAAAACACTCTTGGATGTCCTTTAGACACATGGAATTGCTCTTATGACCTTAAGTATTAAGAGTCATTGCAGATATCTATCTTTTGGTCAAACGTATAAAGGTCATAGCAGACTTATCAAGTCGGAAAGGGATCAACACCGTATCGTCTTTCGCGAGCTGTCATCGCCTTTAGCGCGCCGTCAACCGCGAGGTGAGGTGTTTACTTTACGTTTCAGATAAGTGTGCACTTGTGCAGTATGGAGTTTCATAAAAAGAATACTGACCGCCTTGAGTTGTTGATACGGTTACGATCCCTTTCCAGGTTGATAAGTGTGCTACGTCCTTAATGCCCAATGATCTGATAGTACGCGGCTTGCATAGTACGCTATAATGTTAGTCACCATGTCTATGTTCTTCGTGATTACATCAAGTCGTTCGCGGTTTCTATTGTAAATTAAGGTTCGAACTTGGCGGGCAATAGATTAGTCATGGCGTCTTGCTTTGAATGTCAATGATTCAGTGAATCATCTTGGAGACACTTGTTTTACTTGACATTAGGGTTGCCACCGAAAAGCCTCGATAAAGACGGGAATCTTACAACTCTGAGAGAATTTCTTTTCACATTATTTTTGAATACGTACTGTATCTGATTTAAGTTTTTGAAAATTGTTAACCTAAATTACTTTTTTTATCCACAACGTGGAAGCTCTTGGCCTGCTCTCTCAGTCATCTCACCTGATGGAATATAATTAGATCTGGCCGAACTAGGTCACGCCTATATCTTGGTTTGTCATAAAATCACAATTTGATAGGATAGGTAGGGGTGTACCTTCGGTCCTGTGGCGTCTGTTATAGACAGACATACATTATTATTAACGTTTTAGACAACTTAAGATTTTAATTTGAAGTTGTCAACCCTGTTGATCAACCAGAAGATTGAATTGCCGCATGGATTATGGGACAATAGAGCAGTTAGTGTTTAATTGCTTCTAGCATTGAGTAATGGCTATCGAATAACCATGATGTGGTTGAGAAATCACTTTAACAGTTAAATATTCATAAGCAGTGGCAGCACCTCAAGGTAAAGGGAAAACGAAGGCTGCAGTTGTGATTGTATGCAAAATGCGTTCGTGAAGATTTAGGGACAGGCTAGACTGTTGGGCATAGGATGAGTGAATATTTTGTTTTAACGCATTAAATACACGATAGATCAACGGGACTATTCCCACCTCTCGTTCGCAACTCCTGTGTAGCCAGGATCTACAGCTTGACCGCCACAAAAACCCAACCAATTAAGGTCAAGGTTGTCCCGGGGGAAAGTTAAACTGTCATTGGATCCGCAACGAAATTAATCAGAAGAACATAGGAGGAGTTCGAAAATACACGATAGGTCAGACTGTTAGGCATTGTATGAGGACTTTTAGGGCGTTAGATACAGCTCCGGTTTCCATCGATCCTTCTATTTAAAACATGAACAAGTCTGCGAATATCTGAGCGCTGTTCGATCGTGGATTTCTAGATTGGCTGCCCATATTAGGCTTTAAGCCAGTTGAATTTAATGAATGAATGAAATGAATAGGCCTGAGTGTAGGCTTGTCTACTAGAGGCCCTACATTTTTTTTAGATGAACAGAGCCCCTTATTTCTTGATGACTTTTTATTTTGTAAATGGGAGGGCCCCCAATAAATTTTGATACAAGGCCCATCCAACCCTACGCGTTATTGTTTTAAGTTACGTGCTTTTTTCACTTTCGTGTAGGCAGATGTCTCGAGAGAGTACCAGAGGCCTTGATATTATAATTTCGTTCCAACGATTATGGCGGATTAAAAGCTTATAAAACAGCGAGACATGATGTCATTAACGAACTATAAATCTGGTTTGCCTTGTCGCTTTGTTCCTAGCTTTGATAAACTGACAAGTAATGTTTTGAATTTTTTGTACTATCGGACGATATCGTTTTAATTATTTTTGATAGGTAAATTATCTTGATTAAGTTACTTCTTACTAGCTTTACCATCTTGCTAGTCAAATTCTTAAAGTGTACTAACACTGGGCAAGAAAAGGAAAATAATAATATGTAGTAATAGGAACATAATGTTTTAATTAGCTTGAAAGTGGGGATATTTAAGGATACTAATTAGTTTTCCGCTAAGTATGATACCTAAGATCAGTCTTTGAAAGTTGTCCTTACAATTAAATTAAACAAATAAATGTTTTCTATACTATTCTTTTTTTTCTAAGTTGAAAGAACAGACACTTCATGTTTATAATTTGGTTTGGTTGACTCTGAAATAACTGGGTTAGGAGGGCCACTCACCTTCCGCTTGTGATGCAGTAAGAGTAAGGGTCATTTGACTGACTCATAAGATGATGATTATAATGCAGTAGGCTCACTTTTTTAATAGAGCTGACTTATTTTTGTGGCATTACCTTATAGTATAGACTGTAGTAGGGGCCTTAAATTATGATTAATAATTAGAGTTAAGTGAGTGTATTAATTAATTTTATGGTAAACTAGAAACAGTGACAAGAAAGTTCCAAGTTTCGAGCATAGCTTTCCATGAATTATGTAGCCGATGCATACTTAATTAGTCTTATAGCATCGATTTCACCATATACAGAGAAAATATTAGCTGTATAACTTACTTAAATAATTTTACATTTTACTCCATAAAGTATTGTAGAAGGTAGCTTCTTTTTGTGGTTTATTGTCTTTTGTCAATCACTTAGCGTTTGCTGGAAATTGAAAATTTCGACTTGTTGTGATTTAATTACTTTTTGCCATAATTTTACATTTGTTAAATAAATATCACGAACATACTGAACTTACCTGTATTGTCGATGTATGACTATGAGTCAAATATTGTCACTGGCCTTACGCAAATGTATTAGAATAAATGAATCATCGGAAACCACACTTTGTTTCCTTGTAATAAGGGACAATTACGCACTTAATTGTTTATATCGGCACTCCCTTCCTGATGAACGCTTGACTCATGCGGTATCGCTGCCTTTAATATTAATTGATTGTTTATTTGTTTACGTTTTTTCTTTTATATTAAAAACAACAGGTTAACGGATAGGTTAGCTTTAACAAGTAAAAACGAAACATGTAGACAGAAATTATCTTAAACCGTTTCAAAGTTTCTTCGTCTCTCATGTTTAATTTATGTGTGTTCTTTTGATGGAATCAGAAACAAGAAGTTTATATAAAATAATGCAACGCAACTAATATAATATGATAAGCCGCTAATTACTTTAATTTATGTCCATTGTAATTATTTGTAATGACAGAATATCCAAATATAATATAAGTTATTATTATTTGTCCTTATTCAATGCGGTTTATATGCAAATATGTACATAATTATTTGCAATGTCTATCATACTTCTAGTGCACTTATGTATAAATTGTTTATTTTGAGCTCTTTTCGATTTCCTTATTTGCTTACAAGTTATTTGTTTCCTTCTTGTGTAAATATCCTCTTAACCCGATTTATGAAATAATAAATTAACTAAGAATTTGTATGATTTTCTTCGTTATGTTTGTTTTTGCAATTTACATGTTATCAAAAGCTTAAATAAAGGAATGGTTGAAAGATTAGCGTTGCTAAAAACAAGATAGGTAACCTTTACTCCCTTGATATAGGTAGGAGGCAGTCAGAACAACAAACAGCGAGCAAAAGCCGGGGGAAATTGAAGTGTAGGTTTTGATTTGGTTAGATGTTTTAACTTTAACACAACGCTGCTCAACCTTTTGAAGAGTTGGGCCAAACGGTGGATTCAGTCGTTAACGACGGGCCACTTACATTTTCTATTTCAGTTACTCAAAATCAAAAATATTTATTCAGTTTAGACCACAAGTGGCACTTATGAACGTCAATAATAAAAAAAAGAAAAGGTAGCCCTTATGGGGCACTTTACATGGTCTCCTTATCTTTTAGGCCCTACCAGCGCTTCGAGACAAACATATGGCAAGTGCTGAGAAGAAACGCCGGAACAAACTCAGTCACCACTATCACTCGACAAGCGCAATAAAAACTCAATTATTAAGATCAAACCATACTTGCGCGGGCCACTTAAAATTCTTTCTGGGGTTGAGCAGCCTTGTTTTAACATGTCCCCGTTTCTTGTTACAGAGCTCATCAGACTCTGTTCTGACGACGGGTTCCATCTCAGACCGGATCAATAACTTGCAGCAGCAGACGGCGGAACAAGCGCTGCCGACACATGTCGCGACTACCCTACAGCGAAACAAGAGCGCGCTGCATCCCGCGGGACAGGGCTCGCTGGGTAACTATCGTTGGTCTAATCCACTTTGATCTCATGGCTTTGATCACCCAGTGATCAAAGTGAACTCCAAGCAACAATGGTGTCCTTTGATCACTCATGGATAAGATGACCTGGGTGATCAAAGTGGACTTCAGTTAAATTATTAATTTAGTTTCTTTTGATCACCTATAAATAAATAATCCTCTGAATAGTTACATGTTCAATTTGTTTGTTGCGGTTGTTAGAAAATAATAATCAGTTACTAAACAGATTATGGAAGTACAACACTAAAAAATAGTTGTGGCAATATATGGGGCCTTGTGATTTTGTAGCAATGTCTTTTAGTGGAAACGATTACATTTAAACTAATTGGCCCCTTTCCTTCGGTACGCAAACCACAAGCGCCCTTCTCAGTTATACTAAGATCAAACATGTCCTTACAGGCGGCAGCATGACCTCGCTCTCATCAGCGCCGCCCACGCCCGCTCCAGCCGCCTCATTATCCACATCGGACCTATCGGAGCGCCCTCGGGTGTCCCACGGCAAGCCGCACGTGGCGCCCAAGCCGCCCGCCCCAGACGCGCGCCCTTCGCCGCCGCCCAAGAAACTGATCATCAATGGGAAGGGTGCGGCTAGGACGCAAAGTATGAGGATGCCTAGGTGAGTTTCGATGTCACTGGATCAGTTGTTACTTAATAAAGAGACCTATTAGAGTGCCCTCGGGTGAGCCACGGCAAGCCGCACGTGGCGCCCNCATCTCTAGTATTAATTAAGTTTATGGTAAACTAGAAACAGTGACAAGAAAGTTCCAAGTTTCGAGCATAGCTTTCCATGAATTATGTAGCCGATGCATACTTAATTAGTCTTATAGCATGGATTTCACCATATACAGAGAAAATATTAGCTGTATTACTTAAATAATTTTACATTTTACACCATAAAGTATTGTAGAAGGAAGCTTCTTTCTGTGGTTTATTGTCTTTCACTTAGCGGTTGAAGGTTCTGGAAATTAACATTAAATTTCGACTTGTTGTGATTTAATTACTTTTTGCCATAATTTTACATTTGTTAAATAAATATCACGAACATACTGAACTTACCTGTATTGACGATGTATGACTATGAGTCAATATTGTCACTGGCCTTACGCAAATGTATTAGAATAAGTGAATCATCGAAAACCACACTTTGTTTCCTTGTAATAAGGGACAATTACGCACTTAATTGTTTATATCGGCACTCCCTTCCTGATGACCGCTTGACTCATGCGGTATCGCTGTCTTTAATATTCATTGATTTGTTTATTTACGTTTTTGTCTTTTATATTAAAAGTGAAATGTTACCGGGTACTTTAATTTAACAAGAAAATACAGCAAAAGACATGGGCGTACCCAGGTTTGAGGGCAGCTCCCCGCCCATTTGACCTAAAACAGGGGTGGCCAACCGGTCGATGTAGATCAAGTCTATTAGTCCAGTCGATCGTGGTTAGGCCAGAAGCTGAGTACGCCCATGACAAAACATGTGCCTAAGCAGAAATTTTTCTAAACCATCTCAAAGTTAAAGCTCTCAGTCTCTCATGTTTAATTCATTTATGTGTGTTCTTTTGATATAATTAGAAACAAGAACTATACATATAAAATAATGCAACTAATAGAATATGATAAGCAGCCAATTACTTCAATTAATGTCCATTGTAATGACAAAATATCCAAATATAATAAGTTATTATTTGTCCTTATTCAATGCGGTTTATATGCAAATATGTACGTAATTATTTGCAATGCCTATCATACTTCTGGTGCACTTATGTATAAATTGTTTATTTTGAGCTCCTTTGAATTTCCTTATTTGCTTACAAGTTATTTGTTTCCTTCTTGTGTAAATATTCTCTTAACCCGATTAATGAAATAATATTAATTAACTAATTTGTATGATTTTCTTCGTTATGTTTGTTTTTGCAATTTACATGTTATCAAAAGCTTAAATAAAGGGATGGTTGAAAGATTAGCGTAGCTAAAAACAAGATAACTTTTACTTCCTTGATAGGAGTCAAAGTCAGAAAAACAAACAGCGAGGAAACGCCAGAGAAAATTCAAATATAGGTTTCAATTTGGTTAGATGTTTTATTAACTTTAACACAACGCTGCTCAACCTTTTGAAGAGTCGGGCCAAACGGTGGATTCAGTCGTTGACGACGGGCCACCTACATTTCCTATTTCAGTTACTCAAAATCAAAATCAAAAATTTTTATTCAGTTTAGACCACAAGTAGCACTTATGAAGGTCAATAATAAAAAAAAAAACTAAAGGTAGCCCTTATGGGGCACTTTACATGGTCTCCTTATCTTTTGGGCCCTATCAGCGCTTCGAGACAAACATTATGGCAAGTGCTGAGAAGAAACGCCGAAACAAACTCAGTCACCACTATCACTCTCAGGACAAGCGCAATAAAAGCTCAATTATTAAAATCAAACCATACTTGCGCGGGCCACTTAAAATTCTCTCTGGGGTTGAGCAGCCTTGTTTTAACATGTCCCCGTTTCTTGTTCCAGAGCTCATCAGACTCTGTTCTGACGACGGGTTCCATCTCCGACCGGATCAACAACTTGCAGCAGCAGACGGCGGAACAAGCGCTGCCGACACATGTCGCGACTACCCTACAGCGAAACAAGAGCGCGCTGCATCCCGCGGGACAGGGCTCGCTGGGTAACTATCGTTGGTCTATTCCACTTTGATCACATGGTTTTGATCACCCAGGTGATCAAAGTGGACTCCAAGCAACAATTTGGTGTCCTTTGATCACTCATGGATAAGATGACCTAGGTGATCAATCAAAGTGGACTTCAGTTAAATTAATATTTTAGTATCCTTTCATCATCATCATCATCATCATTTCAGCTATAGGACGTCCACTGCTGAACATAGGCCTCCCCCAATGCTTTCCACGTTGATCGATTGGTAGTGGCCTGCGTCCAGCGCTTCCCTGCTACCTTTACGATGTCGTCGGTCCACTTTGTACGATTATTTTAGTATCCTTTGATCACCTATAAATAAATAAACAAATCACACATCCTCTGAATAGTTACATACCTATTCAATTTGTTTTTTGCGGTTTTTAGAAAATATCAAAAATGTTACTAAACAGAGTGAATACAAAAAAAATGTTGTGGCAATATATGGGGCCTTTGTGATTTTGTAGCAATGTCTTATAGTGGAAACGATTACATTCATAAATTAATTGGCCCCTTTCCTTCGGGACGCAAACTACAAGCGCCCATCTCAGCTATAATAAGACCAAACATGTCCTTACAGGCGGCAGCATGACCTCGCTATCATCAGCGCCGCCCACGCCCGCTCCAGCCGCCTCATTATCCACATCGGACCTATCGGAGCGCCCTCGGGTGTCCCACGGCAAGCCGCACGTGGCGCCCAAGCCGCCCGCCCCAGACGCGCGCCCTTCGCCGCCGCCCAAGAAACTTATCATCAACGGCAAGGGCGCGGCCAGGACGCAAAGTATGAGAATGCCTAGGTGAGTTTAGATGTCATTGAATAAGTTGTTACTTGGTGAAGAGACCTATTAGAGCGCCCTCGAGTGAACCACGACAAGTCGCCCGCCCCTCACTGTTCCCCAAGAAACTGATCATCAATGGGAAGGGCGCGGCGCAAAGGCAGAGCATAAGAATGCGTAGGTGAGTTTAGATGTCACTGGATGAGTTGTTACTTGGTGAAGAGACCTATTAGAGTGCCCTCGGGTATCCCACGGCAAGCCGCACGTGGCGCCCAAGCCGCCCGCCCCAGACGCGCGCCCGTCGCCGCCGCCCAAGAAACTTATCATCAATGGCAAGGGCGCGGCTAGGACGCAAAGTATGAGAATGCCTAGGTGAGTTTCGATGTCACTGGATCAGTTGTTACTTAATAAAGAGACCTATTAGAGTGCCCTCGGGTGAGCCACGGCAAGCCGCACGTGGCGCCTAAGCCGCCCGCCCCAGACGCGCGGCCTTCGCCGCCGCCCAAGAAACTTATTATCAACGGCAAGGGCGCGGCCAGGACGCAAAGTATGAGAATGCCTAGGTGAGTTTCGATGTCACTGGATCAGTTGTTACTTAATAAAGAGACCTATTAGAGTGCCCTTGCCTAGGTGAGTTTAGATGTCACTGGATCAGTAGTTACTTGGTGAAGAGACCTATTAGAGTGCCCTCGAGTGAACCACGACAAGTCGCCCGCCCCTCACTGTTCCCCAAGAAACTTATCATCAACGGCAAGGGCGCGGCGCAAAGGCAGAGCATTAGGGTGCCTAGGTGAGTTTAGTTAGATGTCATTGAATAAGTTGTTACTTGATAAAGAGACCTATTAGAGTGCCCTCGAGTGAACCACGACAAGTCGCCCGCGCCTCACTGTTTCCCAAGAAACTTATCATCAACGGCAAGAGCGCGGCGCAAAGGCAGAGCATGAGGGTGCCTAGGTGAGTTTAGATGTCACTGGATCAGTAGTTACTTGGTGAAGAGACCTATTAGAGTGCCCTCGGGTGTACCACGGCAAGCCGCACGTGGCGCCCAAGCCGCCCGCCCCAGACGCGCGCCCTTCGCCGCCGCCCAAAAAACTGATCATTAATGGGAAGGGCGCGGCTAGGACGCAAAGTATGAGAATGCCTAGGTGAGTTTAGTTGTCACTGGATGAGTTGTTACTTGGTGAAGAGACCTATTAGAGTGCCCTCGAGTGACCCACCGGACCCACGACACCCTGCGTGACAAATGCGCAGCGGAATCTTATGCTTCAGTTCAGACCGATTGCCAAAAAGCGGTAATATTAACTGTCACAGCTACACTATACATGTGCACTCCCTCGAATGTAAAGTTCAGGTCTCACGAACTGTATAATACAATACAATATTCTCCTAAACGCCTACCACGTCATAATTTCATACGCTGTTTACAGGTCGCCGCCGGTGTCTCCTCCGTCGCCACAGAGCGGTGGGCGTCCAAATCTGCCGCCCATGCCGGCTAATCCGCCCATCGGCACCAAGAACCCCGCCTCGCATTTCGGTAAGTGCCATGACAAACATAAATGATATAATGGAACAACTAAACCTTATTCAATTTCCAGCAACAACTTTCTTTGGAACTATGAATGACTGCAGAATACGTCTTGGTTGTGTCTAGTTACCCAAGACGTTCTCCATTCATCGTTAGTGGGATGGGAACACCTCGGGTTTTTAGTGGGTTCGAATCCCACATGATTCATCGTCGACCCACGGTCTGCTACATTGCTGAACATAGGCCTCCCCAATGACTTCCACATCGCCCGGTTGGTAGCGGTCTACATACAGTGCCATCCTGCTGCTTTTATGAGGTCGTTGTCTCACATGAATGCATAAATGGACCGAATGGACGCAACTAAACCTTATTCAACCTTTAGCAAGAACTTTCTTTGGAACCATGATTGACTGCGGAGGACGTCTCGGTTCATTGGTTGTGTTTAATCTAGTACCCAAGACGTGCTCCACTCATCAGTAGTGGGTACACCCCGTCATCAATCCACGGACAGCGAGTATAGTTATGCCATTTTCCCGGTTTAAAAAAGCTCATGGTTGAATTTCAATATTTTATTTAGACCTATCAATTGACGTACTTTTTATAACTGTCACAACGAAAATTTCCTATACATTTTGTATGGCATAAGCAAGCAACTTCACTATATTGACAACTCAAATTACTTTTTCAATGAGGGCTATCGTTTTAGCGCTCACCAGTTGGCGCCACTGTAGAGTAAGGTCCTGTCACTTGCTAGTAGCGAAGACAGTGGCGTCAACTTGTGAGCGCGAAAGTGGTAGGAGGACTATCGCATTTGCACTCATCAAGATGGCGCCACTGTAGAGTAAGGTCCTGTCAATCGCCAGGGGTGCCAACTGTTGAGTATAATAACGATAGCCCTCATTACCTACATACAGGTAATTTAAAATTAATTAAGTTTTTAAGGCCTGAATTGAAGGGTCTTTCAAAAAAAGTTGTTATTTCGAGTTTCACAATACTCGCGTATGTCTACAGGCACGCTGCGAGCGCCTCGCGGGCTTCGGCCGCCGGGCGTGTGCCCGCCGCCGCCGCCCACCGCCGCGCCGCCGCCGCCGCCCGCGCGACACGCCTCGCTCGCCGCCCCGCCGCCGCCGCCGCCGCACCACCGGCAGAACGTGAGTCATCATCATCATCATCATCATTTCAGCCACAGGACGTCCACTGCTGAACATAGGCCTCCCCCAATGAATTCCATGTTGATCGATTGGTAGCGGCCTGCGTCCAGCGCTACATCAGCGCAGAACGTGAGTACATCTGACTAAAGTCCGGTTGCCGAGCACGTAGAATTTCGTCCAATGACCCCAAGCTACCTGTCCTTATCGCTCGCGCGTAATTATGTTGCTGTCGCGTTCGCACACTCACTGCGGGCGCCCGTCGCACAGTCGGTCATTGTACAAAATTCTACGTGCTCCCGGACCAGACTATAGCTAGGCTAACGAGTGACTGAGCGAAAAAAAATCCCATCGAGTCACACTGGTACTTTTCACAGTTTTCACACACATTATGTAGGTACATTTAATATCAGGATTTAAGAGCTTTCATTATAAAGAAACAACAATGTATAAAATACATTAAAAATCAAATAATTCAATAATCTAAAGCTTACAGTAAGAAAATACAGGATAGCAAGTAAGGGACTGGATGGGATTTTTTTTATTTTTTTTTATTCGTTTGAGTGTGACTCGTTGGGAACAAGCGATTTTTTGAGCTGCTTCTTTAGCACTGGCCCATGTTATTGTTCCAAGCACTGCTGCAATGGGGATGTTGCCTGGGTCAAAAAGCAAGAGTTTTAATTAGTCCGTCAGTTAACTTATCAAAAAATACTTTACACGTATTTTTCACTTTTTCAAACTAATGAAAATTTAAAGAGATATAGCGCCCCAAAGTTCATAAGAAGAGGCCCGTGACGTCAACGCTTGCTTAAAAATGCCGCACGTTGTGACGTCGTGCGCAACTTCAACGCACCATAACTATGTAATTATTTGTTAGATTGACAAATAAAATTATATGTGTCCAATATTTTTTGATATTAAACATTACGGACTAAAAAAATTTTTTTAGGCAACTAGCCTATTATACCCTAACGCATAATTGTAAAAAATAAATGACTTATNTGGATCAGTAGTTACTTGGTGAAGAGACCTATTAGAGTGCCCTCGAGTAAGCCGCACGTGGCGCCCAAACCGCCCGCCCCAGACGCGCGCCCTTCGCCGCCGCCCAAGAAACTTATTATCAACGGCAAGGGCGCGGCTAGGACGCAAAGTATGAGAATGCCTAGGTGAGTTTAGATGTCACTGGATCAGTAGTTACTTGGTGAAGAGACCTATTAGAGTGCCCTCGGGTGTCCCACGGCAAGCCGCACGTGGCGCCCAAGCCGCCCGCCCCAGACGCGCGCCCTTCGCCGCCGCCCAAGAAACTTATCATCAACGGGAAGGGAGCGGCTAGAACGCAAAGTATGAGAATGCCTAGGTGAGTTTAGATGTCACTGGATCAGTAGTTACTTGGTGAAGAGACCTATTAGAGCGCCCTCGAGTGACCCACCGGACCCACGACACCCTGCGTGACAAATGCGCAGCGGACTTCTTATGCTTCAGTTCAGACCGATTGCCAAAAAGCGGTAATATTAACTGTCACAGCTACACTATACATGTGCACTCCCTCGAATGCAAAGTTCAGGTCTCACGAACTGTACAAAATTCTACTAAATGCCTACCACGTCATAATTTCATATGCTGTTTACAGGTCGCCGCCGGTGTCTCCTCCGTCGCCACAGAGCGGCGGGCGTCCAAATCTGCCGCCCATGCCGGCTAATCCGCCTATTGGCACCAAGAACCCCGCCTCGCATTTCGGTAAGTGTCTAATAATGTGATGTTAATTAATACCTCAATGGATGCAACTGAACTTTATTCAACTTTCAGCAAGAACTATTTTTGGGACGATGATTGACGACTTAGTTGGTTAAGATGTCAATCATTCATCTGTAGTCGAAACACCCCGGGTTATATGGTACTTAAACCCACTAAAACAATTTAGTGGGTTTAAGTACCATATAACTGGCCGTCCCCCGTCGACTCACAAACCGCGAGTTCCTAAGTTAGGTTATTTTCCCGAGTCAATAAAAGCTCATGGTTGAAGTTCAATACTTTAGTTAGACCAATGACTGACTTTATGACTGGGATTCATTCAAGCTATCTCTGAAGCCACGGTAGCCGAACGGTGAAGGGGTCGGACTGGCCGGCTCGTGATCCGAGGAACGCGGATTCGAATCCTGCCGCCGCTCGACTATTGTGGTGAGCCCCCTCGCCCCCCTTAGTACGAGGGGCCAACGGGATTGTCATTTTGCGCTTTTAACCTTATGCTACTAAAGTCTGTTCGCCGAGAGTTGATAAAAAAAAATAAATATCAGGGGTTCTAAACTCATTATAAATAAATTGCGGCCCGCTAATTATTTTTGTCGATATAATGAAAAAGTTGGTAGATTATTTGGGCTGGCCTTTTTTTTTGGCCTGGATTCTCGGCTCGGTGACAATTTAATTTTGGACTACCATTTATAAGAATGTTCTAAAAATACCAATTATCTACCAAAATCTACTAAACGATTTCGCACTACTAAATCATCGTTCTCTTTGCCTCAAATCTACCAAAAAAGTAGAAATCTACTAAAAGTGGTCACGCTGTGGCCGCCGCCGCCCGCCGGCCGGGGCGCTTGACGACAGCTGCGTGGCTCGTACCATGGTACTCAGTGCGCGTTGTGACAAACGACGCCCGCCATACAGAATGCAATAATTAAGCGACAGTCGCTATTGCAAGACATTTCATAATATTTATCAACTCTCGGCGAACAAACAGACTTTAAACGTTAGTAATTTGTGCAATACAAATTACTAATAACCTTTAATTTAAAAAAATAAAAATAAAATAATCTATCGCGTACCCGCAGGCACGCTGCGAGCGCCGCGCGGGCTTCGGCCGCCGGNCCGCCGCCGCCGCCGCACCACAGGCAGAACGTGAGTACATCCCACTAAAGTCCGGTCGCCGAGCACGTAGAATTTCTTGGACAAAATTCTACGTTCTCGCAGACCAGACTATACGTACAGAAAGTGTTCTTTGTAAAGGTATTTAAAAATATGTCTACTCAATGTGATGACATTATGGTGTAATTTAGCTTGTCCCAGTCTTGCACCGTTTCGTTTACGTATGTCAGTGATCGGTACTGTGCCGATGCGATAGGGCTGACTGCTACAACAAGCTACTGTGTCGCCATCTAGTGCACCACGCGTATTTTTTCTTCTTTCCATAGCAATTTCTTTTTCAATGGGTGAAGAATACGCGCGATAACGTCACTCAGTACTCGCTCGTGAATCCCTTGTGGATTATAGCCACAGGCGGGGGTACGGGTGCGAGTATTCGATACGGTACTCGGGAAGTTGACCACAGGCCTGATACTGATTTCTAACTGGGCTAACCAGTGACCAAGTTGCTTGTCCTGCTGCTGCGTTATTATCCCGGAGCAATGATAAGATTAAAATTATACTGGAAGGAGTTTGTAAAACTGCTTGTCAAAAGCCTACCTAATTGCAAAAATCTATTGTCTGTCCAAAGGACGATGCAGAATAATTAGAAATACAGAGATCCATAGGATAACCAAAGTAATCGACATAGTCCGCTGAATTGCCAAACTTAATTGACAATGGACGGGGCACTTTGATTGTGGAACTGAAAACAGAATTATTATGGGTCTCCCCTCGGTGGGTCGACGATCTGATGAAGGTCGCGGGAATTGTCTGAATGACACTTAAATTGTCTTCAGTTTTGTCTACATTTCAAGTTTCCACTTATTACAGCGACAAACGGAGTGATGGACAGGCACGAACCTAGAAAAACTACATAAACAACATTCATTCATAACCCATTTCAGAGCATAAACGGCGGCGTGTCCATTGAAGCGGCGCCGGCGCCGCCGGTACGCGGCTCCTCTATGCGCGGTGACCTCGAAGCTCGCTTCGCGGAGCTATTCCAACCGCCCGCGCGCTTCCCGCCGCCCGGCGCCTTCCTACGAGTCGCCAAAGGATACAGCAGCGCCACCGTCGCCGGTAAGTACGCGTGAACAAATGGGCCCGATTGAAGTTAGTAAAGGGGACTTGGTGAAGGCTACCATATTGGTAACTGGGGGTAGTAAGCTATTTGTTGAAAGGAATAAAGTTAAACTGAAGGAAATTAAGCTACCATACTCGTAAATGAGAATAGACGTGTACTGTAGAAATTAAAAATTGAGGGTAGCTGCGCTACTGACTACCATATTACTGAGGATAGTCGGCTAGTGACTAGTTGGAGGTATAACTGATAGACTACCCCCAGTGGACTACGAGTGAAGTCTTAGGATCTATGATTTACGATCAATCATTTTACAATATCATGGATAATAAAATATCCCATTATGGTAGCACGAGCCTGTGAAAGTCTGTATTTAGTGCCTTATAAAGATGTGATTGTTTGGTTCACTCGAAGCTGCTGCAGAAAGCATGCATATGTTTTGTCCTGCTTTATTCGTATTTAATAAAGGCAAAAGATAGCTTGCTATTCGTCTATTCCGATTCAATTTATACTATTGGTGATTATAATAATATTTTAGAAAAAAGTGCTGTCGAGGAATATCATAATGTGTACCTTGTCAGTACATTTTCCGATTCGGGCATCTGATTATGTGGAAGGCTGCAGAATTAATAGTACAATCCTGATAATTATAATAATTCGACACATTGTCGAGTTGCTATAAGTTAACGAGACTCCACTTTATTCGTTGAACAATTTGATATTGGTGATTAGTAATACATTGAAGTATGTTTTTGCGATGTGCTTACTTAGCAAAGTATTTTGACTGATATACGATTTTGATTTACTGGCTAGTAACTAGATATAGCAACATACAGCGTGTAAGGGGCAGATTGGCAAGAATTTAAAATTACATTTCTGTGGTCAAACTTAGTAGAATTCCTCCTTGGAAATACCACTATAATTGTGAGGGATGATAATATTTTTATTAATTGTGAGATAATGTAGCTTATAAATAAAACCAAGTTTTTGAGAAACCTCTAAAATAGTTACATGTAAGTTACTTTGGTATTATTACGGAAAAATTGTTTGTTCACAACATAATAGAGCTAAAACATGTGGCATCTAATGCAGTTGTGATAAGAGCTATTTTCTAACAACAAAATATTAGTGCTGTTTTTCATTATAGCAGAAAAATACAAAGATATTAAGTTTGGGTTATTAAAATTTGTTGTTTGTGTTCATAGTTAAGTTTTTGCCACTCTGTACCTTATACTGGTAACTTCAGGAGCAAAACGCACACAGACGTGCTCTGTATAGTCATATATAAAATTTNTAAACATTACGGACTAAAAAAATTTTTTTAGGCAACTAGCCTATTATACCCTAACGCATAATTGTAAAAAATAAATGACTTATCATAATACCACAATGTTCTAAAATATTTTAGGCTGGCCCGAGCTACTGAATTCCAGCATCGCATCTCTTGCAACATAAGCTATAAAGATATAAGCTTTTGCCCGTGGCTGGGTCCCCAAGGTTATCATAATACGCTTATTCCGTTGCGACTGAAATATTTTAGATTCCATTCGATTGAAGTGTATACCAGATACATGTCATTGTCTACTATATAAAAATAAGTCGGGTTTTCCTCCCTGACGCTATAACTCCAGAACGCACGAACCGATTTCCACGGTTTTGCATTCGTTGGAAAGGTCTCGGGCTCCGTGAGGTTTATAGCAAAGAAAATTCGGGAAAAGGGGGTAAAACGGGATCCACGCGTACGAAGTCGCGGGCGGCCGCTAGTTAATTATAAATTTTAAGATCGACGTACGAAGAGACAGCGAAAAAGCTAAAAAACTTCGTAAACTACATACATTCACTTAACCATTTCATCTGCCGCAGAGCATAAACGGCGGCGTGCCCATTGAAGCGGCGCCGGCGCCGCCTGTTCGCGGCTCTTCTATGCGCGGGGACCTCGAAGCACGCTTTGCGGAGCTATTTCAACCGCCAGCGCGCTTTCCGCCGCCCGGCGCCTTCCTACGCGTCGCCAAAGGATACAGCAGCGCCACCGTCGCCGGTAAGTACGCGTGAACAAATGGGGCCGATTGAAGTTAGTAAAGGGGACTTGGTGGAGGCTACCATATTGGTAACTGGGGGTAGTAAGCTATTTGTTGAAAGAAATAAAGTTAAACTGAAGGAAATTAAGCTACCATACTCAAATTAAAAATATTTTATTCAATTAAGACCACAAGTGGCACTTATGAACGTCAAAATATAGTAAATAAAAAAAGGTAGCTCTTATGGGGCACTTTACATGTCTCCTCACTGTACTCCTACTGTACTGTAGAGATTGAAAATTGAGGGTAGCTGCGCTACTGACTACCATATTACTGAGGGTAGTCAGCTAGTAATTATAAGAAGGTATAACGGCAGACTACCCCTGGTGGACTACAAATGAACTCTTAAGATCGATGATTTACAATCACACATTTGGCAATATCGTGGATAATACAGTATCCCATTATGGTAGCCCGAGCCTGTGAAAGTCTGTATTTAGTGCCTTATAAAGATGTGATTGTTTGGTTCACTCGAAGCTGCTGCAGAAAGCATGCATATGTTTTGTCCTGCTTTATTTGTATTTAATAAAGGCAAAAGATAGCTTGCTATTCGTCTATTCCGATTCAATTTATACTATTGGTGATTATAATAATATTTTAGAAAAAAGTGCAGTCGAGGAATATCATAATGTGTACCTTGTCAGTACATTTTCCGATTCGGGCATCTGATTATGTGGAAGGCTGCAGAATTAATAGTACAATCCTGATAATTATAATAATTCGACACATTGTCGAGTTGCTATAAGTTAACGAGACTCCACTTTATTCGTTGAACAATTAGATATTGGTGATTAGGAATACATTGAAGTATGTTTTTTGCGATGTGCTTACTTAGCAAAGTATTTTGACTGATATACGATTTTGATTTATTGGCTAGTAACTAGATATAGCAACATACAGCGTGTAAGGGGCAGATTGGCAAGAACTTAAAATAACATTTCTGGGGTCACACCTAGTAGAATAAAATTCCTCCTTGGAAATATCACTATTGTGAGGGATGATAAATTTTTATTATTTTTAAGATAATGTATCTTATAAATAAAACCAAGTTTTTGAGAAACCTCTAAAGTAGCCACTGCAATAAGTTACTTTGGTATTGTGACAGAAATATTGTTTGTTCACGACATAATAAAGCTAAAACATGTGGCATCTAATACAGTTGTGATAAGTTCTATTTTTAACAACAAAAAAGTAGTGCTGTTTTTCATATAGCAGAAAAATACAAAGATATCAAGTTTGGGTTATTAAAATTTGTTGTTTGTGTTCATAGTTAAGTTTTTGCCACTCTGTACCTTATACTGGTAACTTCAGGAGCAAAACGCACACAGACGTACTCTGTATAGTCATATATAAAATTANTAAAATTTGTATTAGTATATTTTAAGATAGGTACAAGTCATAAGTTGATATTGACATAATAATTTTAGTTTACTCTGTAGAATAAGAGTCATATTAAATATATAAATACCAAAATCTAAATAGAAGTATTTCTATAATAAATTGTTATAAATGTTATTTTTGTTACTGTATTCTGGTGCATGAATGCATGTGCAATGACTGTAGGTATTTAGATCCAAAGTGACCTTACTATTTCTATACTTTGATACAATTTACGAGTATTCTCAAGTAATTTAATTTCCACTTCCTAACTTACACTTATATGTTTGAATGTGTATGTATAATTTTATACTTAGTACATTTTGTAATGTTTGAAGTACAGAAATTATTAGGCGTAACTTTCGTATTCTAGATTGCATTTAAAATTTGTCATTCCAGGAACTTGAATCAAATTAATATTTGGTCAAAACGAGTTATACTTACGGAAATAGAATCAGTGTGTTGGTTTTGGAGGGGGTTTACATACGTTTTGGCTTCTGCATTGATGGGACACGTTTTTAAATCATTCACCTGGAAATTCATCGTCCAAAGTGCAAGTATTTACATTGCATGATGGAAGAGCACTGATTAGTTCATACAAATTTTCATCATTCATACAATATTGGCCAAGCATTTATCTATCACCAAGTCTCATTTTGTTTTTGCCAATATTTCATAATCAGGAACAATTGGCATTTAAATCGGCCATTTCAAACCAAATTATCACACATTTTATATTTATTATGCAAATTATAGTATATGCATAGATTTTTAACATTTAATGTCTATTTTAATAATGTTGGTATTATTTTGGCATATTTATACATCAGATATAGTGTTATGTTGAGTCATTATTTAATTATATGTATTAGTAGTTTAGTTGTTCTTTCAAAGGCATAGGCGATTATTACTCGTATCTATTTTTTGATACTTTTTCTTTTATACTGCTTTGTGTATTATTATTACAAATATAAGATTTATATTTTTCTTTATTTACTTGGACACAATCGATACGCGTAGTAGTTGCCTAGTATTGCACGAGTAGGAATGTTATAGATGTTTAAAAAGGTTATGTAGATGGAAATTGTTGTTGTGATCTTTATAAATATTAGTGAGGTGCCATTTACTGCAAACTTATGTACTTTATCGTATCTGTGACGGCTTATATAATTCACTTTGTTTCATTCTATGTTTTAGTAACATGATTTCACTGAAATACTTAACTACATAAATTAAAAAAGACAAAATATATAATTTTTCAAAGTAGTTGAGTAGTTCAGTGAAATGATCTACGCTTTTAAAAGCAACCGGTATTGTGATAGTGATGTCTACGATGCTTAATATTTATATTATTTTTTAATAATAAAAGATTAATTATAAAGTTTGTCGTAATTTCATTGTTTAACCTAACAACGTGTCGTGATGTCGCTTATTGTGTTTCAGTTTGTTCGTTGATTACAGCTATGATGTGCAAAATTACATATTTTATGCGTTAGTTTAATCCATATTCATAGTGGCGTATATTTTAAAAGAAAGTTGTTATAACAGTAGGAAAAGTAATTTAGTAGATTCGTATTTTTATAAATCAGGATATTATAGTTATTATCAGTACACTGCCTACGCATGTAATACAAATTGGGTAAGTTTATTTCACTATATTTTATGCATGATTATTTACATGTTTTCATTAGCCATGTTTCATCACGTTTGTTTCGAAGCATGTTCATTCACCGTAGTATTGTCATGCATGCGTTGCACGGTTGTGGCGTCATGTGCATGGAACACTGAACGTCTTAATTTATTAGGGCAACACATTTTCAGTTTTAAGTAGTAGAATTCGTTTATGAATGCGCACAAATCGCGAGTTCTTCAATTTGTGTGTATTTGTGAATTGAGGTTCGTAAGCTTTAAAATATTCCCCCTGGGAATGTTATGTATGTTACTTATTTCTGTCATTACAATGTTTAATATAAAATGTTGCGGAGTTAGAGGGCTTGATTTGTGTTATTTGCCTTGCAGTTTTCTTGACAGTGTTGTGTTGGTAACAGAAGTGTTAATTATCAGCTAAAGTTGATACCAAATGCCCTCATTCTGAATGGCCATTTTTACCGATATATGTGAAATCTATATTTCAGTTCAATAAAGTCATTGTTATCATGGAGGTGAAAGATTTTTGTTATGTTGTATGTTGTGTAAACGTAACGTTACTAAAAAAGTAACATCTGTAAATACACTAATCATTGTATTGCTCAATAGATTGTGAAAAATTCGCTACTTGTTCAACTTATTTGATATTTTAATGTTTTTCGTGGTCAGTATGCATCGCATCACATCTAGCAAAAGTAGTGTGCATGCTTTCATACAAAATAATTATCAATAGTAATGGTCGGTATGGCTTTCCACATTTTAATAAGTCTGTCTATCACAGTGGTTCTCTTAACCTTTAAGTCATGTGGGACCATTTTACCAAATTTCTGTCTTGTCAGGGACCACCTCATAATCGGTCAAAACCAGTTTGACTGCAAAAATCAGTTAAGTGGTTTTGACCAAGGTGAGCGAGTGCACATCGTGGACCACTTGGAATGCCTTCAGGGACCACCAGTGGTCCGCGGACCACCGGTTAAGAACCACTGGTCTATCATCAAAAGTAACATGTCGCAAACCAAATTACTGCCTCGACAAATCTAACTACGAACAAATAGCGAAATTTTCACCAAGCAAAACACAATACAGATATAGATGACCCACGCTGAACTGTCCCACCAAACTCAATGACAGGGGGGCGCTACCATCGTTCAACTATATGGTTTCCAACATGGCAAAAATCTGAACCAGCGATCCGGTATTGACGGTGGCGCCCCACTGTCAATGTCATCGACAGGACAGTCCAGTATTTTGGAACTATACAAACCTAACCGTGCTTGTGTTGACAGCGAGCAAGGCGCAGGCGCCGCCGCCGCCGCTGAAGGTGCCCCTGGAGGGTTGGTCGGGCACCTCGAGCGCGTGCTAGCGAGCGCGGGGGGCGCCCGCCGCCCCCGCCCCCTCGGCCCGCGTGGCCCCGCCCCCTCCACACGTGGCCACGCCCTCTCCACACGTGGCCACGCCCTCTCCACACGTGGCCACGCCCTCTCCACACGTGGCCCATACAGCGCACCTCGCCCCGCAAACACACCCCGCCCACGCCCTACTCTCCGTAGCCCACGCGCTCCTCGGCCCGGCCAGCGCAATCGCCAATCCGACCGCCGAAAAAACTCTCGACGTGCTCCCGATAGACGAGCTCACGATGCCCGCCGATGACGTCAGCGACCTCCGCGACGTCGTCGACGCGATCAACCGACTCTGCGACACGATGAAGACTTCACATTACGACGAGGTCAGTGACGACTTTGAGAGCGCGACCTCTGACGAGTTACTCGTTGAGGCTTCGAATATGTTAGTTTCGAATCATGCCCCCGAATCGCGATCCGTGGAAACCACGGATGCGTTCGTTTCGAACTACTTTTCGGAACTGCAGCAGGAGGAAACGTCGGATTTGTTCGTTTCCAGTTACTTTTTGGAACCGCAACCCGCGGAAACTTCGGATGTACTACTTTCCAACTACGCCTCCGAGCAGATAGAAGTTATGGACGTCGCTTCTATAGTGAGCCCCGAGGAGGTCTCGATACGGACGGTAGATCCTTCCGAGCGCTGGAGCGACTCACTCCTGTCTCTGCCTCTAGAAACTATCGCGTCTGATATTGAGCCGGCCGCCCAGTGTGAACCTATCAGTGAAATGTACTATACGGCATCCTCAGAGGTGTCGCTGCTGTCCGACGAGGCCCCTGAAAAGGTTATTCCGGACCAGGAATCTTTTGACGGGAAGGAGGAATCTAAAGATGGGAAGGAATGCGTGATCGCCGGTCACGTGGCAGCTATGAGGGAACGATTCGAAAGCATGACGCGAACGAATACGCCATGTCCGGACCTCATGAGGTCGTCTTCACCTTCTCTCGACGTCTTCAGAAACATCACGCCGTCGCCGGATCGGTTAGGATAATATTAATAGTTGGGTACTACTTGGTCGTTCAGGCTACACGGTCCAGGTCAACTTGCTGCCATGCGGCCGCTCACATTACAAAAGAGCGTTTAAACATTGCTTTGGCCTAGCAAATAATAAATCCATGTTGCATTCTGGCCTGGTCTGAAAGTCTGGCGATTCTGGTCAGCCTTTGTTAGGCGACTAGTTAGTGATCAATTTTTATAACCTCTTTAAAGTATTCAGTACTCGTATCGTGTATTTATCGGTTGCTAGTCCTCGTGTGACACCATTATAGAAACTAACGTGCCAAGAGTTTCACACTTAGAGAAACGGTTGTGATTATTTTTGTAGCTTCATCGTATTGCAATTTTGAGTGCATCCACATCGGCAACCTCGTAAATGGAAAGTCCTTCCACTTCTTCGGGTGAATATGTATATCGGCAAGTAGTGCCACTGCCAAGTCAATGAGTTTGCGGACGAGTAACTAAAAAGAATTATAATTGAACCGGATCTAGATGACTTGGCCAGTGATTGACAAATATTTCAGGTTGTGGGGTCTCATTAGGTTCGCGCTTTATGGGATTATCTTTGACTTCAAAAAAGTCTGTCTAAAAGCTATTATCTGACGTTAATAATGATCGTCAATGAGTTATATTCTGATACCTAATTAAAAATATTATTGTGCGATTCATTCGCCAATGTGGACGCACCCTAACAAGTACATATCGTGAAAGATTGTTTAGTTGTATGTAACGAGTAGTCTTTTTCGAGATCGTGATTGAAAGTAAACGAAACAATTATGAGAACTTTATTCTACGTCGTATTTAATGTGATCTTGGAAGCTCAAATTTTGTAGTTTTCTTACTAAAAAATAATTGACAAAAAAATTACTGATTTGTAACAAGTAGGTATACCTTTATATTCAGACCAAGTAGCGGGTAATGTGTTATAGCTTAGCTTTAGTCATGAAATTAATTATTTCCAGCGCCAATCAGGTACGTTATCGGCAAAGTAATTGCAAATGATTTATAAAGTGCATTCATGTTACGTTTTTAAAGTTGCCATAAATAATTTTAAGTGTAATGTTAAAATTTGTTGTATGTAAAATTACTTTTAATAGCAAAGATTTGTTTACTTTAAAATTTAATCTGTTGTGATTTTTTAACAAAATATTTAATTGGGTTATACGATTTATTCTGCGGTGATACTAGATAAATACAGTTTTTATTTATAAGCATGTTGTAATGTAATCAGTGTATGTACTTATGTGTAAGGGTTTGGTATTGTATCTTCTAACAGTCTAGTGGATAATTATTGGCATGTATTATAAACGTGTTATGTGTACAGACGAGACCTTTTATTATTGTAATTCAATATACGGCTTTATTTAACAACAAGTTTATTTCAAAACTACATCGATCTCCTATAAATATGGTATAATCTAACATGGCAAGCGGACAGACTGTAAGCTCCACTTCGTATTGTCAAGGATATGAGAGGCTACGAGAACTATTTCGTAGTTTGTGTATTGGTTAATGGTAGCGTGACATGAAAAATAAACAAGAAAACGAATAAATTCTCGCATCCCCAATGATATAATGCAATGATAACTTGTTAGGATGTCTGTCAGTGACTTCGGTAAGGTGAGAAAATAGTTTCTGAACACGTTATCATCACAAAGTCGTCAAGGAGAGAAATCAAAAGCTAACATTTATTTAGAGCATTTAATCAGTAAAGTAGTCAAAATTCTACAAGAGTAGGCAAACGTCACAACTTCACGTGGAAACGCTTAAGGAAAAATTCAAGGCAAAACATTAACTTTTCTATTATCCTTACGCACTTAACACCAGAAAAAATTTAATAACTGAGTCTACTGAAATTACGTCCGACAGTCTATGCGAGAGCTCGGTGATAGGTGTCGGTGCGGACAGGGGGCCGCCAATCCAACAACGCTTGTTGTGACCCGAGTCGCCTGCCACGCAGGGAACTGCCGGCCCCGCCTTACCTGTAGCGCGGCACCATGGGCAGCCCCACGCCCGGGAAGCCCATCATCGGCATCACGCCGCCCGGCAGCAGCATCCCTGCACACAGAGCGAGGTTACGGCGGCCCGCGCGCGCGGCGCGACAGGGGACCACCGGTCCAACACACGGCCGAGCCGTTGTGACTGCTGAACAATCGCCTGTCGCAGCCCGCCCCGCGACACGCGTCCAGTGCCGACTTATTAAGGTGCAGTAAGCGAAGGAACACAGGTAGGTAGGATAAATAATTCACATGAAAAATCACACTTTCAAAATACTCGGCGACGTGATCGCATCCGTAGTCATGCATGTTCAGTGTGATCCGAGATGGTTGCTCGTAGAATCCAATTCAGCCAACGACTATTAACTCTTCGTTACATGCACATTGTAAAGCGACAAAACTACTGTACGTAAATATAATATTAGTGTACCCACCCGTAAACCGACAAAAAGTCACATTTTATATGACACTACGAGAAAATCGAGACAGTAATAAGATAAGAGCTACTACAATAAGCAAATCCATTAAGGAATGTGAATAAAATTACCGCTCATTTCTTTCCGATCCTCCGATTGTGCGGATGGCACATCAAAATCACAGTTTAGCTCTTGACAGTGTTTTGCCTACGGACAGTCGATCAGGGCGGTGGCCCGGGTGTTAGTGGGTGTTAGGGCGTGAGTACGGACAAGCTGTTAAGTGTTACTGAGGCGCCTGGCGCGCCACTGCACTCACTGAGCTGCCGACGACTAGCGAACTAAGTGGAGAGCCGGCCACGCTCTTAAAACATAATTCATCATCCTTTATAGACAATCATATAAAAAAACTAAAGCTTATTCTTACTTTTTCGTACGGGTTTAGTGTCGTGGAAAATAGACAAACGTTTGGATCGAATTATTTATTGGAAACAAGAACACTCCATTTTCCACGCCGATATGCAACATGTCTATTCTAAGTATTACAAACACGAGTCAGTGTAAATATCAGTACTGAGAAAAAAATTAAAAATTAGAACTTAAGATCCTTAGTGTCTACTAAAACTAAAAATGCACCCATTATAATGTTATTCTTAAACCGATAAATGCAAAAAAAAAAATTAAGTCTAATACTGGAAATGTTATTTTTGTCTTTGATATAAAAATATAGATGCATACTATAAAAATGACTTTCAGTGTGTCTTAGCAGTCTCGTAATTCTGCGTTCAAACATGTAACATTTTAGTAAACTTTAGTCTTTGGCGCCGTCATACAAAATTTTCTAATCGATAAGTCTCTTGGACTTGGACCATACTGACATCAAAAATATAATACAATATTACACTTAGATACAGACAGTGTAAAAGTAATTAATGTGCAAGAGCTAAAGATAACAACATTTTTGACATAGTATACCTAATGTGTATATGCCTGACTTAAAGTATCGAAAATTACACAATAAGAGTTGTTGCTAGGCCTGACATTATTGGGGGTCACTAGATTTCATCAAAAACATTCTCAAACCTATCTTTATCGCAGTATAATCAATTAAATTTTGCTGATGTGAAATTTGACAATGCACTGGTAAAGTATACAGAAATAAATGGTATAAATGTTTCACAGCGTCACCTCAAAGTTCACAATAGCTTATTTTTATGTATGTATTGTTGTGTGTGTGTGTTTTTGCAGTGGGTATTTGTAAATAACTTAAAAATGTTAATCATAATAAATATGAGAGATGTGCAATTGTTTTTAATTCTTGCACTTGTATTATGTTTATTTTGATGCAGCATAAATGAATGTTATATCGAAAACGTAATTGTTGAATAAAAATATTTCGCCATGCCATGTCTTTGATTGTTATTACATTGGATGAAACAAACCTTGATTCTAATTAGTAGATGACAATGATATAAAATATGATTGTTATCATTTATGAGAGATTGAAGGGATCGCCAATTAATTTCTTGGCAACAAACACTATCACATGACATTTACACCAAGAAACAAATTTACATCATTAGAAAGACTACAGTGACAACCCTGGAAGTCCTGTGTATTAAACACATTTCAATAGTTCATCTTGTACTTCATTATAACTACATTCTATTACAAAATATTGGTTATGGCAGTATAATTTCATAGTATATAAAATTATGCGTTGATTTGTATATAAATACTGTTTTCCATTTGCTGAATACTAGGAATACGTGACTGTCACTTTAATCTGTGTTTACAAAATTAGTATGAAATAAAGATTGAAATTATAACCATTGATAGAGTCAAGTTGAGCCATGGGGCATAGAAGATGATAGTCTTCCCAAAATAAATGTTTAATGAAATGGAAGTACATAACTACAAAATGGAATGAATGTATATTACAAAGGTATGACAATGACAGAAGCCGAAGGAATGATTTCGTTATTAACATTATGGGTTGCATTTGCATGATCAGACTTAAAACAAAATAAGAAAGAGGAAAATGTACGATCGGTTCAAAAACCTACGTCGCGCAGTCTGTAGACTGTCATTACACACGAACCCCCATAGTAATAAAAAGTTACACCCTATTTGAACTGTTTTAAAGTAACATTTCCTTTAAACGTCACTTTAAAACAGGGTTCAATGGTGTAACTTTTTATTAGTAAAGCTTCAACCACACCAACGTGTGCTCATCGCCATCGCCGGCGCGATCATAGGCCAATGACAGGTCGCGCAAACCCATGACAGTCCGCACGACCTGTCTTTGGCCTATGATCGCGATCTGCACGCGTTGTTGTGGTTGAAGCTGGAGGAAAAGTAAAAAAGAAAACAAAAACGAAACGCATCAGAAAGTAACCGCCACGTATCTTTCTCAACCATTCACAAATACCCACCGCTAGCGGTAGTGCGCGTGTGTGTGTGTGTGCGCGTGCGTGTAGTAGTACTGACCGGGCTGCAGCGGGCGCATGAGGTTGAACTGCGGCATGACGGGCAGCACGCCCATGACGGGCGGCATGGACACCGGCACGCCGACGCGAAGCTGCGGCTGCGGCAGGACGCCAACGACTTGTGGGAGCAGCGGCCGCCGCATCGCTTGCGTGCGCGCCGCCGCCACCGCCGCGTTCATATGCGCCGCCACCTGACGCGAGAACAACTGCACACCTCACACCGCGCTCGCAATTCAACACCAGAAGGCTTATGCCTGTTTTCACCATCAATTCCTAATTTTTAAGGCTTATTCCACTATTCCCCATTGACAATCCCCGTCAACGGGGTACAGTGGCGGCGTAGCATGGGTTGGCACCCGGGGCGATCACCTGTCATAAGTCCTAAAGCACCCCCTGGTACCCCCCAGGATTTTGGGGTTACCTACCGATTCGAAGATTGAAAGACAATCGCACTCGTATGCTTGCCGTGCAGATGCGCTAGGTAGTGAGTACTAATCTGCGCGACTTGTGTCGTCACCCCCTGATGCTTGGCACCCGGGGCGGACCGCCCCCACCGCCCCCCCCTTACGCCGCTACTGAACGGGGATTAATTGGAGCTTATAATGTTAAAAATAAAATCCTATAATAACGGGGAATAGTGAACAAAAAGTTCACTAATCCGCGTTGACGGGGATTGTCAACGGGAAATAGTGGAATAAGCCAATTTTAATAGACCCCTATGGTGACACAATACAGGCATTTTGTATTCATAGGAGTCACTTAAAATTAGGGATTGATGGTGAAAACGGGCATTGTGTTTACATCAAACGTTTTCACTAGTGACTGCGTAAAAAAGATCCCAGCAGATACTTTCAAGAAATAACATCTTCATAGATTATATTGACGCGATCACTAGTGACAACGTTTGATGCAATCAAACGTCGTCACTAGTGACTGCGTAAAAAAATGACATTCAATGTATGACGGATTGTACAGCGGCCCTAGCGGACTACTTTCAAGAACTAAAATCTTAATAGATTTTTTGACGCGCTCACTAGTAACGTTTGATGTAAACTCCCACTAAGCCCTTAGAACTGACACGAATCAGCCGAGACGCAGTTACAAATGTGACAGTTACAAAGGTTCTTTTTCTCACTGGGCACTCGAGGCACGAGCTTAGATGCCCGCGATCGCCGGGCCATAACACCGTATGTGATCGGTGAAGTTATTTTTTAAATGCCCGACTGAAGGCAGTTGTATGCAGTTGATTGTTCCATGAATCGGTTTCTATAGATCTAATTTCTAAATTAAGCTGTCACGTTTGTAACTGTCTTGGCTCCTGCTCTCCTTTGACTCGATGCAGTGCTTATGATATTGTGTATCGCTGTTGATCATCCCGTTATAAACGAGCAATAGATTGATCCGAAAACACGGATGGCGGAAACCAGACTAGCACTGCATCGAGTCGAAAGAAGATCTAAGCTGACTTGAGGCAGTTCTGATTTGGTATCGAAACACTAAATATACAAAAACATAAAAATATTATTGCAAAATCTTGTGCAATCTTGTGTGTACTTGGTACTAGTTGCAAAACTACAACTTTTACTTTTTCTTAGTAAATATTAATGGAAGACGGACGATCACCAATCTGTGTGATTAGGTTAGTTCTAAAAATATTTCCATTGAAAATTCATCAATGCAATCGGATGCGGTAGATATGACGCAAATAACCAACGATCTGCGTCAGAATAGTTCAAACTAGCAAGCACTCAACATTTTTCATTGGCATAGAAAGTTCGCAAGTACTAAAATACGTCTGTGCAAACAATAAAAATACCTATTTCAAAGATTTCTATTCTAGCTGGGACTTTACTATTTGCCAGTATCATGCCCGTTTTCACCATCAATCCCTAATTTTTAAGCGACCCCTATGTAAACAAAATTCCTGTTATTTGTTACTACAGGGATCACTTAAAAATTAGGGATTGATGGTGAAAACGGGCACTAATGTCTTAAACAAAGAAACCATTTCTTTATTTTTATAACCAAATTAAAATTGATTGATTTAGCAGAAACACGCCCGTATGCTGCTTGCTAAGTGAAGCAGCAAATCGAACGCACAGCGTTGAATAGAGCTCTGTGATTGGTATATGTGTCACCCTGTTGTGCGGCCACTCGCACTGTGGATGTGTGAATTCGGGCGATAGTATGTTTAGATAATTTTAACGAATAGTCAACGTGTGATCTATGGCAAATAGATAACAGATATACATGTCACCGTAAAATTGTGAATTCGGTCAGATTATAATCTGACGTAGTTAAATTACAATCTAACCTAACCTAACCCACTGTTAGTTTACAATCTAACGCATTATATTATAAACTGACAGAGTTCACAATTTCACGTTGACATACATACTGAAATGCAGATAGATTTATTGGAGTCATTCGAAACCCAAAATTGCATAGTAAAATTAGAAATAATTTTATTTTCTACTCGAATCCTGTATGGAGTGATAAGGCTTAGAGCACTTTATTATTGAGATAAGGATGTATTGTTGTTGTATGATGTATTTGTCAGGCTGATAGATAAAAAAGATAATGCCAAGCATCATAAGGGCATGATAAGCCATCTTGTCGATCGGATCGATGTCTTTAGATCTGCAGCATGACATCAAGGTTCCTCAGACGAGAAAAGCAACAATTTTAAGGCGTGATGTGATTTTGGAGAAAAAAATTCACTTTCAATTATTTTAACTACTATGGTCTATTGATATGGTAGTTATGGGTTCAAAATCCCCAGAGGCATGGCTAATGTTTAAGTTAGTGTGATTAGCATGAGCAATTATGCTAATCACGTGTTATTATTTGCGACATAGCGTCATCATGGTCATTTATTTTAGTATGTTATTCTGTTATCTAGTAGACACAAGTACAAGTTGTCTAGTTAAATAGAACAATCGTTAAAAATATCTTTTATTGCCTAACCAGTCGACGAAATAGAGGCTCATCATCCATCTTTGCCATTAAATAAAGAAGCGTACGCATGGCCTCGCACTCTATGTACCGACGACCTGGTAATGGTCACGGTAAGCACTTGGAAGCGAGCATGAACCCGTCATTGTGGAAATCCATATGGGTGGCCTTTGTCCAGCATTGCACGACAGGTTGTAACAAACATGATGTCACCAACAAACAGGACCAAACATGCCATCAAGAAACAGGTTGAAACATGTCTGCAACGGACGTGATAGTACATACCTCAGCCTGGCTAGTGCTAGGAGTGATGAGCGAGGGCTGCGGTTGGGGCATAGGCGCGGGCGCGTCGGGCTTCGGCCGCGGCCGGTACTTGCCGTGCCTCGCGCGTATCTCCTCTAAAGACACATCCTCCGGTGGATGGATTATCTTAGACCCCGCCCCGGTCGCTGTGACGAGGGGGCAAGAGTTTGCAGCGGGCGGTTTCACCTCACCATTCTCTTTTGGGTCCGAACTACTTGATGTTGAGGTAGTAGGTGGTGCGCTTATTGTAGCATTACTGTTGAAGGAAACAGTGTTGTGGTAAATGAGAAGAGTAATAAATTCACATTACAATGAGACAATTTCAGTGCAATAGTTCATTTACATGTGACCGTTTCTCAAATTCAATTACATTCTCAAGGACACCTGACCCGCAGTAGACTATGAGCCATTATGGAGAAGTCCATTTACAGACTAAATGGTTACAAAGACATCAGATTCTTACCTATATGCAGGGAAAGTAGGTTTATTAGGTTGTGATGTAGGTATACTGGCTGCTGGGAACAGTGGTCGCATACCTGGCATCATCATTCTGAAAATTAAAAATTATATTGATTAAGACTAATCTAATAAAACACGTAAAATACAATACATACCTACATGCATTAAATGTTTCGAATTGAATACCTAAAAAAATTAATTTAATCTTAATTACCTTGGTGCCTGCATAAATGGAGGCATCATGGGGTTCATTTGCATGTGCCCTGGATACATCCCCGGAGGGACTGGGCCCATGGGTGTTGGCAATATACCCTGTGATACTCCTGAAGGTCCAGGTCCCAACTGTCAAATAATGAATTAGTTCGTACTAGTTCCTATAGAAATACAATGTGCATAATATTGACTTTAGACACAATAATTTACCAATGCAGGTGTTGCCTTTTTCTTGGCTGCGGGTTCATCGTCGTCACTATCCGAGCCTTTGCCGCCACCTAAACAAATATCAGAGTGTAAATTACAGAAAATAATACAAATCGATTACACGTTGAAGTACGATCGCTATCACACTAAAAGGTAAACATTATCGATACATATACTACAGGGTTGAATAGAAAAATGTGCTTAAATTTCCAAATATAAATAACATCAACACAGTAACTAAACATCCATTTACACCTAAAACTAACCATTCAAAAAAATAAAAATATGGTTTTGTACATACAGTTTGTTCCAAAAATCAATAGTCGAACCACAGAAATAAGTTTGTATACCTGATTTTTGCTTCTCATGTTCTCTTATATCTTCAGGTGGAATACCTTCCATACCATAGATTTCTATTTCTATATTTGACCTATTTGGTAATGAATTTGGTACTTTGTCTATTGCTTCTTTATGTACCTGAAATCAGATGGAAAAAATTAGTAAACCGCCCAGGATGAGCTCATTTGACTAATTAATAACAAGCTGAAGTTATTTACATAAAAACTGTTAGGTATGATGTGGTGTTAACAGAATAAGTCGCGCCAAAATTATGTACAACGCAAGTTAAAAGGGGAGACGGTACTGGTGATGGTGGGCGGGTGGGCGCTTGCCAAGTTTGTCTCGAGGGCTGACGTACCTGCATGCAGTGTATTGACAATCCGGGGCCAGTGTACAACTTCTTGTGGCATATGTGACATTTAAAATGTTTCGCTTTCTGGTGTTGAATTAAAATCTTTTCATCGTCAAATTCCCTGTTACAATACCTGAGAGACACGCTAAGGAAATCATATACAATTTACATACGCAAATACAATTTCAACGATTGACCTAAATATGAAGGTCACGCTAAATTTGTAATCAAGTTAGTTTATTGGAAAAGGATACCAGCACCAAGGTTTCGATGCCTTCTTCTTCTTACGGCCCATTTTATGTCGATCTAAACACTAAATAAACTAACACGAATTTATCACAAAGCACTTAAAACCTATTTTACGTCAATAAAAATTAGTTTATCACAGATTTACAATTAAAATTACAACGAATTATTTGCCGTTAGCGATACAAATCGAAGAAAGCAACCCAAAATGGCGCCGACGACAATCAAGAAACGAATCGACCACGCCACAAATCTGCCATTTTGCAATGCAGCATTTTTGTTGTTTATGGTATTACCAGAGATAAAAAAGGCTAACCGGTTTTTTTTTAAAACCGTAAACGATTCAGAACCAGCCGCCTTAGGCCTAATTCACACGAGAGCTTATTTAACGTCCGTTAAAAAAGCGTTCAAATAGAACATATGCATACCCAAGTACGTGTTCACACGTCGGCGCTTTTAAAACGCGACGCTTTTTTATCGAGCAGTGTTGCATTTTCAACGCAGAGCGTTGGGAATAGGCTTGGGTATGCATATTATGTTCTATTTGAACGCTTTTTTAACGGACGTTAAAAAAGCTCTCGTGTGAATTAGGCCTGAAATGTTGAATCTCCCATAGGATAATAAATTAATTCATATCATTTTTTTAAACGAGCCATAGACTATGAACCATAGAGCAATGATTCTCATCGACAAAAATATCGATAGTGTCTCAGCGCCATCAGCTGTTACACAAATGTCATTACCTCGTCCCCCTCAGGAAATGGCGAAATTTTTTTGTATGGAAATAAACGCGCGCTGCTACTCCTGTTATTTCTGCTCTCTGTAAATAAACGATTCAGAACCAGCCGCCTTATATTGTATTCACCTCTTGTTTTTTATTTTTACCGATTCCTGTGATAATAGAGTGAACTATTGTCATAAAAAGGTGTAAGAGATAGAGCCTTAAACCCTCTACTAATAAAAAGTTACACAGTTGTTGAACACTGTTTTAAAATGACATTTCCATACTAAACGTCACTTTAAAACACTGTTCAACGAGCGTGTAAGTTTTATTAGTAAGGGGGGGTAAGGTTCTATAAACTTACCTTGCTCATGGTTATGGTCAGAAATACATTAGAGGGGTGGCAATGTTCTTTATGCCGTCTCCACAAAAAATACCCAAGGTATTTTAAAAACCGGTTATTTGTGGATAAGTTGAGGTGGCCTCTCTAATTTTCGGCCAAAAAGATTAGTTCCAGTGCCCAGACGTAATTAAAAAGAAAACTAATTATGGCGCGCGTAAATGGCGGGATAATTTAACGCTTTTTATGCGTGTTTGTTGTTGTTTTTTTGGGAATCAATCTTTGGGAAACTAGAACTACAGAAAATTTCCTATTTTTGATGTCTACAAAACCTCTTTGTGAAATCAATATGCGTTTTGACAGAGAACTCATTTCCCCAAAATATTTCTCGATTAGCCGTTTTGCTGATCGAACCCAGGACCTCTGTGTCTAAAGGCTTACCAGCAGACCACAGAGGTGGTATGTTTGTATGGATATTAATAACTAAAATTGGTCATATCTCAAAACGTATGAAACTTTTCTATGGACAACGCTTGTTCGATGCGTCTTAGGCCCAGCTACCTCCAATGTCAGTGTAACCAGTGTAACTAATTTTGGAACACCCAGTATAATCACCAGCTGGCGCTACTATGTAATTTCTGTATAGTGGCGCTCGCTTACTTTAATAGTGATATTTTAATAGTCCATGCAGTTATCGACACATGTTGCGGACCATTTCCCCTAAATTAATTAAAATTTCGGAAAATTTGAATGCTAGCTCTTTCCTTACACAAATGCTGAGTCTGTATTGCTATCCAGCGAGGAAATGCAGCCAGCATCCTCGCCTCTTTGCCTCGCGGATACACNCTGGCTCTTTTTATATTTGAGTAATAAATAACTTTTTTTGTTTATTTAGAGTTAAGTTTGCGTTAGTTGTAAAAATATCTGACATTGGATATTATACGTACACTTCTTGCTTAACGTAAGACATCGACTAGAAGCTAGAAGTCGAATTTCAAGGACTATAAGTTATTTGAAAGAAATTAAAGATCAGCACAAACAAGCCGCAAAGGAAGCGAATAACAACGGCTTTACCTCATAAAACAACGTACTGGTGGTAGACACTAAACGAGAATTAGCTGAGTATTTGAGTTGGAATTACGAGATCATACTACTTATCAGATATTGTTTGACAAGCCTGTGAGCGCTGCGTGAGCCGGCCACGAGCCCCCGCATGACACCCATGAGACGGGGGCGTGAAGCCGCGTTCTGCCTTCTCATTGGCGCAGATGGGTGCAGAGTACACTACGTCATCATCTTCACAGGGATTAACGTTGTCGCTTGAAGCACATCTATATTTTATCTAGAAGTAGGACAGCTGCACATGAGATTGGGGCTTGACTGTTTCTAAGGATGAGCAGAGTAAATCAATACTTGCATGAAAAATATATAAATACTTTTCGAATCTTGTGAATCAATTTTACATTGCCGCATAGGGACGTCATTATATTTAACTGCTCAAAAGGCTTCCCCGGAAAGGTAAAAAATGATAGGATTTCCCGTTTTCATTGGAAGTACTCGTATTAGATACAGAAATAATCAATATTCTAATATCATAAAGACTTCTTCATTCTACATTATTTAACAAAGACTTAGGCAGGCGATATCTCATAGCAAGTTTTTCTGAAAGTCATGTCGTTTAAAAACAGCGATGAAAAATTATCAAAGTATTGTAAATAACATGAGATCTGTTATGCTAAGTTTACACGTTGACTTTCGTGGGCAAGTGTGAGTGGTTTCGTCAATGCAATTTGGAAGGCATTAACTTGATTGAGACAGTAGAGAGACAAAAGGCTGAGTTTTTTCAGCACCTAACTTTAACGGTGACTTTAGCGTTAATCGGTGTTTTTTGTATGGCGTTTGACATATTTTTAACGTTTGTTAAAGTTAGATGGTGCAACCCAGCCTTAGTTTGGGCTACCAAGTGTAGATGGACGTTGGTCAATAGAAGTTTTTAGTGAACTTTACAAACCGTCAAACATCACTACCGAAGCGTGGACTACAGATTCGAGAATGATCATTTATGTAGTTAGTAAAACCACAAGGTAAAACTAAGTGTATCTTATTAGTTTAGCAGGTACTTTTCTTTAAGAAAATCATTTTGGTTCCGTAAAGTCATTGATTTTTTCCGGGGATTGATTGAAACAGAGCTTAAAGTTCAGGTTATTGATGTATTTTATTAGTGAGGCTTCAAAATATTGATGGTACACCGTATACCTACAAAGTATACTACATATTTTTTATACCTATTATGTGTAGGCACTTTAATCGTTCATTGATCTTATTTTAGTTTGATAACCGATTATCAAGTTTCAACCACTTAGCTTAGCTTATAATAGGTTTTCCCTGAAACACTTGAAAGTATTATAAGTGCAGGTCTTTAGTTAGATTAACGAATGACTGTTTTGATTATTATAAATGTTTAAAATACTCCATTTCGGCAGTCGGGTAATTGTCAATTTTGAGAATTAGATTGATCCTTAAAACCAAAATGACACTTCAACTGATCACCTCACCAAGAGTGGTTTATCACTGTGAGTCCCTTAAGGTCTTATTTATACAGGGTGTCCCAAAAAGTAGTGTCAAGCCGAAGCCCAGAGGTAAAGCCTCTATAGGGCTACCGGAATCACGGCGACTTTTGACAGTTTTCGAGTTATGTTTTTTTTTCCACATATAGGATTTTATGGTTTACACATGTTATGGATGTAAATACTTCTGAATCAGATAGGCCTAGTATTCATCTAATAATAATAAAAAAAATCAGGCATGTACCTTATCTATTCGCGCCACAGTGACCAAAAAAGTGCCTAAACACAGAAATTTAAAACAATAAATTAAGTACTCGAAAACTATCAAAAATCTCGGAAAATACATGGGGGTGATTCGGATAGCCCTAGTGACACTCTACCTGGGCTTCGGCTTAACATTACTTTTTGGGACACCCTGTAGGTATAGTAACTGAAATATTAGTATTTTCAAGTAGAGTAAGCTAGATTAAAAAACGAGAGCGCTTTGACTTGCATCGGAAAGAACCCTGTAAACTCAAAGTAAAAAACTTAGAGCATTAAAATTAGTCAAAGGTAAAAAACATTAAAACGTAGGAAATAAATTGACTCAAATTAGATCTAAAAAAAGGTTCAATGTTTGTTTGGGAAGTTCAAAGCCGTCACAAAACACGCTAAAAGTAAAAAGTCATCACTACGTCAAATGATTACGAGTACGAGCGCAATGTGGAATAAAATTAAATTAATAAACAGTTTACCGACAATCTCTTGCAATTTTGAGCAAACAGCTTCATGCACGAGAGTGGAGAGAAGCTTAGCTATCGACAAGGCACTTCGGTAGAGACTGTGGAAAGCGATACAGACTCAAATAACAAATGTAAGTAATGTTGCCTATAATTCGCACAGTCTAACGTCCCGATGGTCGGGATAAGTCCCACGCTAAAGCTGTGTGTTATGTCGACACATCATAACACACCTATGAATCTACGCTTAAGAAAATATTCAGGCGTGAAACTGTCTGAAATCAATATTTAGAGCAATCACTGGCTTGCACCTTGTTATGGTTCAGGAGTCAGGAATCCTAGGAGTCTCCACTCCTGAGGATTGTGGGGTGTAAGGAGGCCTCAGATTTAGCAATTCTCTTGAGATTTTCTCACCCGTATACCTTCTTTCACCTGCATAATCTGGTACTGCTGAAAATCGATCAATGCTGTATGAAAATGTATGAGATTTTGCATAATGGCTCATAGTCTCAAACTAAGCGTTATCTACTTTCAGTCGTCTGACAATGTTTATGACGAATGCTATGAAGTTTCTACTAGGTTTAGATTTGTTACGTAGGTATTCCTGAAAGTTATAGGGTTGAATCCTGAAGTTCGCACCTATTCATATTTTATGTGCATATGTCGAGAATCGTACAAGATGAGATATACGATTAATAACATGTGGTAATAATAAAATAAGTATATAAGTACCTACGTCATGAGAGTTACATTACAATGCTTCATGAATATCACGGTAATTAGGTCAGTATAGGCATTGAACATTTTATCATACTTTGTAATGACGTAAATCTGAGTACCACTACAAACAATAGCATTATAAATTGCTTATGCTTACAGAAAAGATGGTAAAATGATATGCAGTAGAAAGCA